CCAGACACACCCAGCCACCTCATCTTCGACAAAGGAGCCAAACACCCTCACTGGAGGAAAGATAGCCTCTTTAATAAATGGTGCTGGAAAAACTGGATTTCAACTTGCCAAAGATTAATTCTAGACCTTTATCTCTCTCCATGCACTAAACTAAAATTGAAATGGATTAAAGATCTAAATGTTAAAACAGAAACGCTGAACCAGGTGGAACAGAGGTTAGGTAGAACTTTTGAAGATATAAGTGTAGGAAAAGATATTACGAACAAAACCTCAGTTGCCCATCAACTAGCACAAACAATTAACAACTGGGATCTCATCTTATTAAAAAGCTTTTGCACTGCAAGAGAAACCACCAACAGAAATCAGACCTCCCAAATTTAAAGATCCAATCCAAAAACGGGCGTTTGAAATGAACAGACATTTCTCAGACAAAGAAGTAGTAATAGCAAATAAACATATGAAAAAATGTTCAACATCACTGTTCATTTAAGAGATGCAAATGAAAACAACACTGAGATTCCACCTCAACCCAGAAAGAATGGCGGCTATCATGAAATCAACCAATAACAAATGCTGACAGGGATGTAGGGAAAGAGGAACACTGCTTCATTGTTGGTGGGAGTGTAGACTGGTGCAACCACTGAGGAAATCAATATGGAGATACCTCAAAGAACTAGGACTGGAAGTCCTATTTGACCTAGTTATTTCCCTGCTGGGTATCTTCCCTAAAGAATTAAAAGAGTCATACCACAGTGATATATTTGCATTCATGTTCCAGCACAATTTGTAATAAAACTTGGAAGCAGCCCAAACACCCATCAACTGGAGACTGGATGAAGAAAATGATTTTTTTTCTTAATAAATGGAATACTACTCAGCCATAAAAAATTTGAAATTAGAGACATTTATAGCTAAATGGTGCACATTGAGGCAATACTCTTAAGTGAAATAAATAGGTCACACATGTAAATACCGAATAGTTTCTCTAGTGTGAGAAACTGAAAGTGTTAATAAGGACTAAAAGGTAAAATAGATAATGTGAAATAGGAAGAAAAGGGGCAAAGGGGAAGGGGAAGTGGGAGGGGTAGGGGAAAGGAAAGAAGGGAATGGAATTAATATGAGGAAATGAAAAAATGGAAACAAAGTCTTTGTAAATAGGGAGGAATGGAGGGGTTAAAGGGAGGGTTAAGGAATGGGAAAAAAAGAACCAAGAGAGACTATGTAAAGGTGCAAATTTCCAATGATGAATGTCATTATATTGTATAACTAAAATGTACCAATAAAATTAAATTTAAAAAGAAAGAAAGACAAGAAAAGAAAAGAAAAGAAAAGAAAAGTGAAGGTAAACTTGCAGAAAAACTGGAAAAAACAAGATAGGAACAGAAATAGCTATTATAGAGAATAGGGAAGAATGTGTCATAATCTGTGGAAAATAAGGCACCTTAATAAATTTTTCACGGTCATTGCATAGTTTTTAAACAGAACTGAAGTGGAGATGCCAACAGTAAATTTTCAGGAATACCAACATCCTTGTTTCTGAGCAGACTAGAAACTCAATCATGTCAGCTTGAGAGTTCAAACTTCAGTGGAATAAATTGATCTCAATTTAAAACAAAACTGTAAATAGATATCTACCATAGGTCTGAGCACCAGAGGTTGGCTCCCCTGGCTCTTTGTACTACACAACCTGAGTCCATTTCATTCATGCAAGAAAGTTGAGAGGGACAAGCTAGACAGAAGCTGCTAGACCTCCTCTCCCTCCCTCTCCCTCCCTCTCTCTCCCTCTCTCTCTCCCTCTCTCTCTCTCTCTCTCTCTCTCTCTCTCTCTGTCTCTCTCAGGCACACACACAGCACAAGCCCGGGTTTCTGAGGGTAAGGCGCTGAGCTCCAGAGCAAGTGAGAGTGTGTGGCCCTCTGCTCCAGAGAGCTCTGCAAAGCCAGTGCCACCGAGGCATAGACCTTAGCCCCACTGTCTGGACTCCTGTGGCCTATGACGGGTGAACAAGGAAGTGGTCAAAAGGAAAATAAAAACCACAGGAAAAAAAAATCATTAAATGTTTACTTATAATACTCAGTGGCCTATTTAAGATGAATCCCATTTATGGTAATGAGCCCTTAAATGAGCCTATTTAAAATCATTCCATAGACTGCCTGGCAATACCGCAATGCTTGAGATTTCCTCGAGGACAGGACCTGGGCTTTCCAATACCATTTACTCCTGTGGTTTTATGGTTAGGTTCTAGGAATCTCTGTGATCCCCAGAGACTTTTCTGTGAGTTTCTTTGGGGAAAATGTGGTCATGGTAGACTGCTTTACTTTGTGCCTGTTTGATCACCAGTAAGTATCCCACCAATACTAAAATAGGGTTTGATGCTATGAGATATGGAACATAATGCTGAAGAGACCCACAATCAGTTTAAACCCCAGTAATCCAAGATGTTTCCTAGAGCTCTGAGTACATAAAATACTAGAATCTTTCTAAAAAGGGAGGTATAATTAAATCAGCAGACAAGATAAAGAAGCATAAGGGTGCCTTAGTTATGACAATGGTGATGTTCATATGACCACACAATTCTGGCAGGCAGTGGCTCCTACCCCTGACCCACTGGGCACACTTCTTGCACAACGATTGTCACAGTGTGTTATACCATTTTGTTTAGGTTTCTGTCTCTCCTGCTGGAAAACAAAAACCTCAACATAGAAACTGCTTTCCTCAGAGATCCATGCCCTAGTCAATCTGATGTGTAACAAATACACAATCAACCCTTATTCAGTGAAGAGATTAAATATGCTGCAGGGGGAATACTGAGACATGAATTTGAAATAAAACTTAATTTTCAGTCTACCCAGTAAATATTATCAGTGGGGCCCAACATTTTCACCTGAATTCTTATATTCTATGTAACAGATCTCCCTTTTGTTTTTCATGTCTATATCATATCATACTGTAGCCCATAAATATCTATAATTATTATGTGTTAATTAAAATTGTCTTTAATTCAATTTATTCCAAATAATTGTCAATCGCCAAGGCTATCACCATTTAGTCCCCATTCCATTCTATTAATTTGTCTCTTCACTAGTGGCATCTTCCATTCTGTCCAATTTTCTTGTGAACAGGAATGGATTTTCATAAAAAGACGCCAAGACCAGGCAACACACAGTAAGCAAAAGTCATTTCCTAACTTCAAAAGCCGTGACCTTCCCAGCCACATGTACACAGTGTCCACCTGGGCCCTCTGGAGCACTGCACCAGCAGGAATGGCAGCAGCTCCTATTTGCTCCATGGTGGTACCACCAAAAACTGAGCACACTTAGAGATGCTGATGGTTAGTCATCAACACATTTCAATGTTTTTTCCTACCATGCTAACCAGAGGAAATCAGGACATAAGGATAAATATTGAACACAGTGGCAGACCTAGAAGAAAATCTCACTAAGATGGGGAGGGAGGAAGGAAACCTCTCCTCCGATATTCACAATGCCCAAGCTGGCACTGAAGGACAAAGCTGGAATCACTTTGGCCACTGTTATCTCCGCTCTGATGAGTTTGCTTGTGTTAGGGTCTAGACATAACAGAAACCCAACAGACACCATGAGATACAGATCTATTTTAACACAAATCCCTCTGTTTTTTAATCTTTTCTTCTCCATTACAAAATAAATTATTTATATAATAAATGATATATCACCACCGAGATTTCTATTTTGATACTGAATTATGTTTTCCTGAGTGAATGAAAGAATAAGAGGCCTAAACTCAAGAAATTGTTTCTCCACAATGTTATAGACTTGCAACCTCATGCATGTGAAAAGAGTAATAATTAATTATTTCTTTCTTTGAAAACTTTCCCCCAAACACAATACAAAATCATTACTTACAGCTCAGATAAGTCAAGGTGCCGGAAATGTTTCCTAGACAAACTCGTCAGTTTATTTCGAGTGAAATTGCTGAAAGGAATCAAAAACATTTAAGTGTGAATTTAAAAGGTTACATTGTAGAAGAAATGTTTCCAAATAGAAATTTTGTTTTCAAAGTATAAGTTTACTTGGTCCTTCATGGTACATGCTTTATTTAGATCCAATCCTATCTTTCTTTCACCTGGAAAGATAGCCTTGTTATAGTCTCTACCTCCCACATAGTTCTTGCTGATTGGGGAGGAGGGAGTATACATTTTATATTTGTATGTATATACGTTTTTAATCTCTTTATCCAAATGTTTATTTTTTACATGTGCATTCAGAATCAAATTATATGCCTCATAGAGATCCCGACTTTTGAAAAAATTAATAGAAGCCTATGTAAGATAAATAAAATTAAAATTATAAGCTCACTAGGGGAAAAAGATCCCTTAAACAACCTCTTGAATTTAACATGGCATTACAGGAAAGAACTCACTGACTGACTGATAAATTCTGGTGCGACTATACATGACCTCAATAAGCTAATAATTTTATGATAAGAGTAGGAAAAAATCCAAAAACACGAAATACATCAGATTTTATCCTGAACTAGTTTAACAACATACCATCTTGAGATGCAAAGCAGCAAGACAATGAAAAGATGGCATATTTGAGGTTAAAAAAATAGTAATGAATTTCCTGGCATGGCCCAAGTACGCGGTTTCATTTGATGGGTGAGAGTTTCCAATTAGTGCCATGAGACCTTGAGATGGGAAATTCCCAGTCACAGTCCTGGCAGTTGGTTCACTCTGAATTTGTTTACTATTTGAATTCATTTAAAGTGTGTCCAATACTTGGGTCTCTAGACACGTGTTTAATAAGTAACATGAATGCAAAACAAACAACAACTGTCACAGAAACAGCCAAGTCTGTGACCAAGAAGAGGAAACCCACGCACTCTTTAGGGTCTTCTTCCTGCTCAGGGAAACAAGCTTGGGCTTCGAGTCAAATGAAACACGAGCTCTGAGGGTGGGGGCAACCCTGCCCTCCCCTGCGGCCAGACTGTTGTGTCAGCTGGGGGCCATCATCAGGGAAGCGCCTTCGTGTGTCTGGCAGTCATTGTCAGAGAGACTGAAACCAAGGCCTAACGCAGGAGGTAAGCCAGTCGCCTGAATAAAGAATGCCACTGTGGGGTCTGACAGCTCAGCAAAGCCTGGGGCTCCACTTGGCCAAAGCCTGCCTACAGCAAGCTCCTCTCCTTCTCTCTACACGTGCACCCTGTTCCTCACTCTGAGGGCAAAGTGCTCACCCACAGGACAGGAACATCTACTGGGAAGCTGCGAAATGCGCCCGAAGAAACCTTTCCTCTTGGAATGTGAATTAAGAATGGATTTCACTGGCGTACATTACATTGAAAACTCAACCTGCCTGTCTTTCCCAGTCTTTAAAGTACAAACGTTTTCACTTCTATCAAAAATCCCCACCCGTCTGTAAAAAAATAAAAGAAAAAAAACCCTGCTCTTCATCTACCACAGAAAGGTGGTGGGGGTTGGAAGCAAAGAAAGCAAACTTGAACTGTGCGCAGTTCCCTGTCAACAAGCTGGCTGCCACCTGCGGGGAGCAGCTGCCTCTGCCAGGCTGCCAGCAGTGCAGGGCAGTGTAGAGCGCATCACGGGCGAAAGAACAAGATGAGTTTTATGAACCATACTTATTACTGGGGCCAAAAGCCAAAAAGGAGGAAGAGGAAAGGGGGGAAAATCAACAATCCTCTTACTGTTTGATTATAGTCCTTTACTAAGGGACTAATTAGCACCTCGGGAAAGCTCCTGGGAAATACTAACACTGGCTTTTCTCACAGCCCCTGGGTTCTGAGAGGTACCAAGAACGACACTGAGTGACCAGTCACTGGGGCTCTGGACAGTCAGGAAGCACCACTGACATGACAGGGCATCACAGGTGGGGAGAGAAGTGAGGAGGCCTAGTGTGCATTTCACCAAACCTTGAAATGAAAAGAGGCTGATCTTGTACATATTTTTATGTGGTTGGGGAAACTCAAAGAAATAATGTAGCTGAGGGGTGGAGAGAAACAGATTTCAGTCCGCACTTCCTTCTCTGCTCCCTGGCACCCCTGCATGCTGACAACTGAGCCAAGAGTCCACATGAGGAGTCGGTGAACAAGGTGCTGCCCAGAGTTCTCAGTCATCAGCAGAGCTGGACAAGCCGAGGCCCAACCTGGTCCCTTCCTCTCCCCACCACTCTCAGCAGCAGACTGCACACCCTAATCTCACATTTTGGCAAGCAGGAACCTCTTCTGCCAAGTGACTATATGAAGCTTACCAACATCTGGCCACTTCATGAGTGCTGAACACTTCCCTCGTTTTATTTCATCTTACTACTTGATAAGAACTAGAAATGTTACTAGGAATTTTGCCATTTGATCAATGATTGACTTCCCAAGTATTGTTTCATAAGAAAAATGATACCTCCTTGGGAAATGGGCACATAGTTGGCTTTATGTCGGTGCGGCTGTGTCCTGCACCTGGAACTCTGTTAAAATTATTCTACCATATATCAGTGTAGAGGAATTATGCAAGGTCTATTAAAATGGCAGTGTATCAGAGCCCACTATTCAAGTCACAACATTAGGAGAAGGGATGTGACAAGCCAACCTGCAAAATGTGGGTGCTGAGTGATGTGGGCTTAAGGTCGGCTGTAATAAAAATACTAGAACTTAACAAGTGAGGTTACTTAGTACATCTCAGTGAGTGTGTTAGAGCATTCTGCCTTTCTCATCTGTCCAAACTTCTCCCTTGTTTATACTACCAAGGCTTATGTAGACATCAGATTTGTACAGGCAAACCAGCTAGAGAGAAGATGCCAAAAAGCTTAAAGTGAAATGTGTTGATAAAGTTCCTCAGAGTTTTATCATGTTTGTGCAGGGTATTTTATATCTTAATTGTACAGACTTTATTCTTTCCCCCCCCCCCAGTACCAGGAATCAAACTCAGGAACTTGTGCTTGCAAGGCAGGTGTGGCGCCACTGAGCTAAATGCCTAGCCCTGTATAGACTTTATTCTTAAAATGACTTCACTATTAATGCCACCTAAAATGTGAAGTCATGATATCAGTTTTACGAAATTTAGGTTTTTCATAGTATCAACAAATCTCTACAGAATATACAGGCAATCTGCTCCCAGAGAATGACTTCTTTTATAATTGGCATGGTAATCAGTGAGGGAACTGTTCTCCCAAGGACAAATGTTATTAAGAAGAAATGGTTCTCTAATTGTACAAAAGGCGCAAGTTTTATTTCCTGTGCTCTTATAAGAACAAAGAAAGAGGTTAGCCCATGAGGAATAATTCTACCAACTGGGCAAGTTCTAGAACCTCCTCAGGCTGATTTTGTCTTTAAAATAGGAATAAAAAAGGTCATCTCTCCCAATCAGCCAAAAAAAAAAAAAAATCAAGTGAGATAACCCAGGTGAGAGCTATATAGTTAGACGCTGACTGGGAGACACGTAAGACATCATTGCAAAGAGAATTTGGTCAATGCAAGGAGGATGAATGAATGCAGGTAACAATCGTCTGGCAGAAGCTCCCACTAAAACCTCAGGAAGTGGGGACACTACTTTGGTTTAGGGGTCCGAAGGCATCCTTCACTTGGGTAATCTGCTTAATAAGAAGCCTCTCTGGAAGGTCATACCTTATTGGCTTAAATACCATCATTGAGAGGATTTAGCCACAAAATATTTTTGTATTTCCACTTGACTTCGGGGGAAACATTCCTACTGTTACTAAATGTCTGAACCTTTAGCATGTCTCATGGTTGATTTTTTTCTCCATATTTATACATCCATGACAGACTGTGTTGAGAAAATAAAGGTTCCAAAGATGGCCTTTCATGGGGGGAAACAGCCTTAGTACTTTTTAGTTCCGTAAAAGTGCCAAGGCCAGGGCAGCTCCTTCCCATTCCACTAGTTTGATGTCTTCCAGGAAGCATGCCTTGATTCCAAGTGAAAAAATTGAGGGCTCAGTACAAGGACATAGTTTTCACATCAGACTCCTTGCTGCTGGCCTATTGCTCTCTCCAAGATGGAACTGGACCAGAAATTCATGAAAAGGAATAAACAGGCTGTTCTAAGTACCCCTCTGAAGCCATTCAGAAATCAAACAAAACCAAAGCTAATGTTTCTAGGCTATTATCACAGCTACACTAACTTTAAAAAAGGAGGTTCAGAGTTGGAAAAGAAGAAAAATAAACAGGAGGAGAAAATATCGAATAAATTGGATCCTGGTAAGCAAAAATCAATCTCTACTTACATGTGCTGCAGGTTGCTGTTTCTCAGAAATGCTTTGTAAGCCACAAATTTTAATCCAGAATCCACGATTGTCCTTTGAAAATACATAATTGCATGCGTATTAGAACTAACCAGTGAATGTTTGCCCAGCCCCAGTAAAGCAAAAGAAAAATCTCTGAGATAATGTGCACAAGTCCCGAGTACTCACAGGTTTCTCAGTCCCACGTAGGCTTCCACATCACCTTCGTTTATGATTTCTAGCCTCTTCTGATTTGCAATAAAACTGCAACAAAGCAGAGAGAAGACAGCAGTGACTCCAGATGTAGGCAATAATATGGAAGAACAGGAAACGTCCACCCAACCTCCAATGCACTCCAGCCCTATCATTTATTTCATACAGCAAGGGGAGTAAAATGATGTATGACTGAGAACAAATCATGACAGACCAGGTTTCATGGTGAAGGTCAGTTCACAGGGTTCATATTTTTCCCTCATCTTTTATCACTCTTTCACCTGGCAATTTCAATTTTCCTCTCCTTTTAGGATTTCACCAGTGTGCCAAGGTGGATGGACCTGGAAGTGCACTGACCACCTCTCAAACACATTCCACCCTTTGGAGACAGCCACAGGGTTGTGTGAGTGTTCACAATGCTGGAAAAGTCGTATCTTGGCTCAGTTCCAAGAGACACAGTCACTTTCCCTTTCGCCTCTTGGAGCACTGAAGTGTACGTCTCTGCTGCTTCCATCTCATCCTCCTTCCCACCTTCCCTCCCCTCTCTCTCTTTTCCCACTCCAGCATCTTCTTTTGCTGCTTTTTTTTCCAGTAACAAATCCAATTATTCCTCTGAGGGATCACATTTCACAAACCCCACATGGCCCCAATGTATTCTCTGTAGGAATCACATCTCCTACCTACTTCTCAAGCCTTCAAATACAGAAGTAGACTACTGGCTCTGACAAGACAGACAACTCTCACATTGACCATGATGGGCTTAGAGATGCATATGTAATCTCAATTTGACCAATGAGAATCTCCCCTAAGATTAAACAAGAAAATGCTTGGACAGAGAGAGAGTCTCTCTCCCTTACTGGGATCATAGGTGAAGCATGGCACAGACCCAGGGTTGCCAAGGGGAAATCTTCTGCCATAAGGAAAGAGACTGTCCAAAAATGAGGTCAGCGCACAAAAACAAAGAGTGTTAAGGATATATGAAGAAACTACCACTTGAGCCCTTTAGATCCACCATCTCTGAAGCTACATATCAATAACCAATATATAATCTATATTCTATCACTTGCAATCAATAAAGCCCCCATTAGTATAAACAGACAGCTAAACAGCCACCTTAGAATTTCCTAGACTCTACCACTTATAAAAGCATCTATCTCTTACGAATTTTCTTAGATCACAATTTCTGTGAAGATGAAACTGTTTTATAATTCCTGATGCCAAACCACTTAACTTGGCCCCTTGTACAAGACAGATACTTTAAGGATGGATAACTGAATGGATGGATGGAGTGACAGACAGTAAATGGATGGATGGTTGGATGGATGGATGATCAAACAGACAACACTTGGGATTACAAGGGATTTACAGAAAATGATGCTAGAATGAATTCTCTCCTTTCCTTTTTGAGAACATAGTTCACTGATATATTTCAATCAAGACACTGAAAACAAGTAAGTAGCCCTGCTGTTAATAACCAGTTAAAATGAAAAGATATTAAATGAGAGAGTACACAGCATCTATAAATCCCTCCTAACCAGTGGAGAAAATAAAATGGTAGCAAGACATACAACAAGGATTTGGGAAAATTAAAAAAAAAAGATAGGTAAATTCTCTCAAGGTACAAATTACACCAAAGAGAAATAGTTTTGAAAGAATGCAACCAACATTTTCCCCTGTTATATACAAAAGCAGCCTTCAAAACAGGAGGACCACTACCTCTCAGAGACCTTGGTTCTCCCACGGCCTCACACTTCAGCCATGTGCAAGAAGGAAACCAGTAAAGTTAATAACAGACAATTCCCTACGCTCTCCCCACCAGACACAGAAGGAAACATTTTAAAACTTGCACCAAATGTTCAATTTTCAAGTTTTTATGAATGTTTCAAAATCATCACACTTTAGAGACTGTTTTCCAAGACTCTCATTGCATTAGCACTTTCAGGAGAGACCACACTGACCTCATTCTTCCAAATTACCTCACCATAAGAATGGCATTCCTGAGAGTCCTGAGTACTTTTAACACTTTTCTCATGCCACTGGACAGTTTCCTTTGGAGTCACCTTCAGGTCATCCTCTCCTCCCAAGCATGGTGCCTATCACTGCTCTGAAATCGCCCAAGACATCTGCATCTCCCTCTACCTGCATCAGCCTGTTTCCTCCACATTTAGGGCAAGTGCCTGGTGCTCAGTAGGTACCTGAGCCAAACCAACAGCACAAAGCATCGTCTTAACTTTCACTTTTCTTTTAGTTATTTATGCCCTTTATTTTACTTCTATTTTATTTTAATCAGATTTTTAACTTACTAACTTTCAGACTGTATTGAACAAAATACAATGACCTAACAAATAGACACAGAATAAAAGTCAAAGTAGAGACATCAATGGGACCAGGAGTTAGGTTTTAAAACATACATACTTTTTAGAAAGGGCAAAAATTTAATTCTAAGCTTGCTGTCACCAATGTCCAAGGAAATAACACAATAAGTTTGGGCAGTGATAAGTTCACAATATTCATGAGATGAAAATAAGCCAGAGAGATGTTAAGCAAAGCAAAGCATGACTGTTCTTGGCTCTGCGATCAGACAAGAGATTTTACTGAAGAACTGTGTGAAATTACGGAATGTGGTCTCAGAGAATTCTCCCCCGCAGCAGAAGGAGAATCCTCTTGATAAACTTTTCTCCTGGTCAAAATGGAAACACTCAGACAAGGTCTGGATCCTTAGGTTGAAAAGAGCTCCTCCAAAAGCAGAATCCAAAGATGCCCCTCTTAAGCTACCCCTGTAGAGATGTCCATAATCTGGCTGCTAGCTCTAACTCGCCAGGAAATCTATCCCCTAAGAGACTATCCTTAGCTACCACTAAGGAAGGAATCATGCCTCTAGAAAGGAAGTCAGTAAGGTTAATAACAAGCAATTCACAAAGGAAAAAACCTCTGCACCAAGAAACATGTAAAGACTGTTCCTCTCACAAAGAATCTGAAACGCAAATTAAAACAATGTCATAGGTTCCTCCTTTATTGGATTTACAAAATGTGTAACATCTGGCACTATGAACCATTTCTAAGGATGTGGGGGTTTCTCTTGCATTGTTGGAGGGAATGTACACTTGCGTTACCACTCTGAAGAGCATTATTTCAGTATCTTGGAAAATTATAAATTAATACCCTTTATAGCATAGCAAGTCTATTTCTAGGTATCTACCCAAGAGAAACTCTCACACATGCAGGCAAGAGAAAAGATACAAGAATATTCACTGTAGTACGGTCAACTGAGTATTACAATTTTCATTGTTATAGATTTGAAAGCCAGAAACAAATCAAGTGTCCATTGAGCATGGTAACAAAAACCTAAAAAATAAAGTATGTTAAATATATAAATTAAATTGAATAAATATAGTTGAACAGAGAGAGCTCCTTGCTATGTGAGAAAAGCAAAATTCCATACTGATATACGCATGCTATAAAACAATTTCTGTGAAAGCACTTAAAAATACACAAAAACAATGCCACATCATATTCACAGGATATTTGTAAGGTATAAAAAGACAATTGCAAGGAAGATTACCTTGGGAAAGAAGAACAGATGTGGGATAAAGAAACTTAAACTATGAAGCGATTTATTTAATTAAACTGCTAGCCTATTTCTCTTATTAAAAGAGAAAAGATTTGCAAGATAAAAGAGAAAATGTTAAGGCATTGGTTCTGAATATAAGTTCACAAAGTTATTATATTGTTATGCTTTTTTATTTTTATTAATTTATGAAAAAAAAGAGAAGGAGGGAGGGAAAGAAAGACATCACCTCATCATCATGAAATGATGGTGAGGAAGCTGACTAGGGATTCTCAGTGACTCTGTGGATAAATACACCTGGGTTCTGGTCCCTGGCTCCCTGGGCTACCCAAATGATGAGGAGTTAGAACCCCTGGGGAGACAGAAGACGAAGTGCATGCTGCACTGCCCCCTACTGGTGACTTCCACCGCATCCTCCTGGAGATCCTGGGCCACAAGGCCTTTCTGACTCTCATCTCAGCCAGAAGTCCCTTAGCAAGGCTTTCCCCAGAAAACCACCACCACCACCACCACCACCACCACCCCCCCCCCCCCACCCCCCGCCCAGTGCAGTGCCACGCTGAGGGCTCTGCTTAATGCAGCACATCTCCAGCAAGGGTTTCATCCCCAAGGAAGTAGAAATGAGGGCCAGCATCTTGGCACAGGTCTTTGTCAGGAGTGTGGCCCACAACAACCTCCAATGCCCAAGGATCTAGAAAGGCTGAAGGCCCAGGGTTTTCAGGCACAGCTTGCCTTCCAGCAGTTGCCCTCAGGACTCTCACAGCAGGTCGACAGAGCTTGGATTCTTACAAGAAAGCTAAGTTTCTCCCCCTGATCTTCGGAGGTTGACTTCCTTCTCTTTTAGAAGTCTGCAGCTTTTATGTCACAACAACAACACTAGGTGGAATGGGAATCTTAAATTTGACCCCCCTGAAGAATCTGCCTCACCTCCTTGATCCTGCCCCCAGCTTATCAGCCATCTGCCTGGTTACCTGCAACCATCTTACGTCACCCAAAACATGCCTTCCTCCTTCCTCAAGTCCTTACCAGGACTTCTATGATAAGGACTGGTTTTTGTCTGTTTGTTTGGTTTTTTGGTACCTGGGATCGAACTCATGATCTTGTGCTTTTGAGGCTGTCTTCCTGGCCTGATAAGGACTGTTTTTAATAGCTTTCTTTTCACACGTTTTCTACAGCCCAAGACCTAAAAGTTGAATCCCATATGCATTGGGTGTCTCAATGTATTTATCTAAATCTACTCTGACACTTTACAAGACCTGAAATACCACTTAAGTGTTTGGTAGGGCAACACCAAAAATGCTTTTTTCAGTCAGAACATTTTTTCCCATCAGTTGGCAAGCATCTTTTGGCATTTATAGCACTTGTTAAGTCTGTAATTAAGAGTTAGAGGGAAGGGAGGTATTCTTCATACTCACAATTTTATTTTTCTACTAACCAATCTAATGTCCCACCTACTAACATCTCAAAAGTAGGGCCCCTATTC